CGAGTGCGCCACCGGGCCAGCCCTATAGGAGCTATTTTAAGGCCTTCTTTCCTAAGAAAAAATGGCTAGTTGGAAACAAACTGGGTATTTTATCCACTCTGATGAGCTTTAAAAACATCTGGATAGCTGCTTGGTATTTCCAAAAGTTCTCTTGCCCCAAATTTAGCCTATAACCTCCAATGAGATTACATACCAGGGCGGAAAAATAATCTTAGTAGTCTTCTCTATAAATATAAAACTAAAAAGTTTTAGTGTTCACTGACCAGGTAACTGGAACTTTTTCCATATACCAGAAACACAATTCAGATCTAACTTTTTAATATAAACTAGTGAGTTTTATATTACTATGTTTGCCTGACTCATGGCTAAAATTTTGAAAGAAAAGCTATAAGCTCTCTGTTTGTGTCTGTCTATATGTTTATGTATGTCTGTATATACACTAAATATATGTGGTATTTTCTACTTCTGTACGGTATTATCCAGTTTATTTCTAAAATCCCTTAAAAGAGTTCTACTTTAAGTGGCTTAAAGAAAAATAAGCACTTACATACATTTTTTTTTTCCTTTTTGTCTTTTTTCGTGTCTGGCAACGGATCGCAACCCTCAGTGTCGCGCCCATACCGGACCGGGACCGGCAACGGGATCGCAACCCTTGGCGTTGCCCCCACACCTCGCTCAGCCAGTGAGCGGGAACCGGTCTGTATGTGGGATCCGAACCCTCGGCGGGAGCGCCACTGCGCTCCCAAGCGGCGCACTGTAGCAGTGCGCCACTGGGCTGGCCAGAAATATGTTTAACCTAAGAAAAAAAAGTGCACAATAAAAATTAATTGCTTGATGTATTTTAAGCATGGCAGTTAAAAGAAAAAGAGCCCACATGTTCAACTTTTTAGGTTCTTTGCTTCTGTGATTTCTTGATATTTGATTAACATGCATATGTTACAAAATTGGTCAACAAGAAAATAACTTCAGATGATGACTAGCTTTGTTTAGTGTCTCATTAAATTTTCACAAGTAAGACAAGCAAAATTATTAAAAATAGTTGTAGGTGGGATAAAAATTTATAACTAAACTTTTCAACAAATAATTATGTTTTATAATATGTCTGCTTAAAAATAGTTCCCCCAATCTTTGTGGTAACTTGAAACCTAATGTTATACTGTTACATTTAATGGTAGATAGTCATTGAATATCTAGATAATTTCCAAATATAACGAAATACTGAAACATTAATTACTGAACATAAGTTTATCTACTTTTGGCTTCTTATTACAGAGAGACATGGGTACAGATATTTGGGTCTGTTAGTAAGCATGTTCTTTTGCCACATTGAAAAATTATAGTATAAGGAAACATGTGACTCTAGAAATTATGAAATGGTGTATTTATAAATTTGCTAATTACTACAGAATGCTGATTAATGACAGACAGTTCATAACTACCTGCTACTCCTTCCTTGTTTTTACTGGAAATTAGGGTTAGAAAGGGTTAAGAATTTTAGTCAATACGTGTAAATGAACTACTAGGAATATCAAGGGTAAAAAAACTCTGTGTCAAAGGAAAGAAAGATGTGTTTTTGGTCAGGAAAAGTACATAAATATGAAAGATGCATTTTTTTTTTTTTTGGGGCAACTGGCTGATAAGGGGATCTGAAACTTTGATGAAAGATTTATTTTTGTTGAAGAAAAAAGAAAGTAATTTCATCCTAAAATAGTTTAAATATTGTTTAATTGGAAAGAGGAAAATGAAGGACAAAGCCTGAATGGACATAGAAAGTTGTAAAGGGTTTGCAGAAAAGAGACAGAAGGGCTGACCCCGTGGCTCACTCGGGAGAGTGCAGCACTGGGAGTGCAGCGTGCCGTGGGTTTGGATCCTATATAGGGATGACCGGTGCACTCACTGGCTGAGCGCAGTGCGGGCGACACCACACCAAGGGTTGCGATCCCCTTACCGGTCACAAAAAAAGGACAAAAAAAAAAAAAAAGAGAGACAGAAAATCAGATCTCATGTGGTCAAGTTGGATAACATTAAGTAAATTTTATTATAAGGTTTTAAAATGAGCTTTAATATCAATAGTGTACCAATGCAAAGCTAGAATTGATTTTCTTTCTCTGTTAAAAAGACAACTTTTTTTAGATTAATGGTCTATTTTTATAAGAGATTGCAAAAGGTTTTTCTTTATCTGTTGGGTCATCTGCCTAGAAGACAAGAGTTCTGTGTCTTATCAAAACAATTTCTTGTGCTTCGGGTTATCTTTATCGTGTTTCTGATTACTTAAAAAAACCAAGTCTTCTCAATATTGGGAAAGTAAGGTTTTTTTTTTTGTTTTGTTTTTTTTACAGTTACGTGACTTTCTATATTTGCCTTCAAAATTTTTTATTGTCACTTTGGTTAAATGGATAACTAAGCATCGTTTCACAGTGACATGTGGTCTTATTTAATCAAGGTTTCATATCTTTTGACATTTTTGATAACTTCCTAAAATCAAATTATAAATAGACTTTTTGACTTTGAACTGCCTTTGGGATTTCCCAGACAGCCCCTGAAAATTTCAAAGGGTTTTCTCTCACCTTGTAAAAAGAGAGATGTTAGGGCCGGCCCGGTGGTGCACTGGAGAGTGCGCTGCCTGGGAGTGCAGCGGCGCTCCCGCCGAGGGTTCAGATCCCATGTGGAGACCGGTTCCCGCTCACTGGTTGAGTGTGGTGTGGGCACAACACCGAGAGTTGCGATCCCGTTATGGTCAGTAAAAAAGATAAAAAGGAAAAAAAAAAAGAGAGAGATGTTAAATTAATTAGGTTTTTGATGCGTTGAATTACAAAGGAAGCATTGTCAGATAAGAATTGATGCTAAACCTTCTTTATTTTGTACTTGCATAACAAAATATGTTTTATCAACATGAGTATCTCAGGAGTTGTAAAAGTTCCTAGAAATGTGTAAATGTCCTTGCTGTTCACGATATGTCCTGGTATAATGTTATCAGTCATGATTCTGGTTATTATCTTAAAATACTGTAGGTCACAGAAATAACAAAATTCCCTTGTCAATTTCAGCAGTTTTATGATGAACTCCTATTAGGTCTTCAGCAATGGCTATGCTTAGTCTTTTGTCCTTCACAGTTATTGTTTTACTCTGACGTTTTCCTGAAAGCTTTTGCTCAGCTATAAGCCCAAATGCTCCCTCTTCAAAGACACTCATGGAAAAGACTGACAGGCTGGAGTGCAGGCTTCTGATAACTCTAAGATCATATGAACAGAGTAGGAAAGGGTTTTCAGAACCAGTGGAGAAGCTGATGAATTTATAAAACTGCTAGCCCCAGATCAAGCAAAACAAGAATTAATTACATGGGACCGAATGTACTGATGAAAAATAATTATGATTTCTTTGATGGGCTTTTTGTTTGAAACTCCGCTGGTTTTTAATGTTATGTTTTCAGGATTTAAGGAACTCTTTTTCTTTTAAGCTGCCTGTAACTTGCAGCAATTTGGTAGATTACAGTTTCGTAAATGAAAACTGAAACATTGATCTTTTTCTCCCTGCCTTATCCCTCCAGAATTCAGAAACTCTTAGTGAATTTTCTCATTTTCATGGCAATACAGTTATTTGTATAACTTCAATAAGAATCTGTTCTTGTAACAGGACCCAATTGGTAACATTGGTTATATTACCAAGGCTTTGATGGGTATGTCATATTTGAGGATGATGGTGTAGAATCGGATATGACCAGGCAGTTTAAAGGAAGGGAAGTGAGATGGACTTTAAGGACCCAGTGCTGCTTACAAAAGTGGCCCAGTACTTGGCTTTCAGTGTTCCCAGCCTTACGGGTGAGTAAGGAATGTCACTCCCTGACAGGCTTAGAAACTTAAGAACAATTTGGAGACCTCACAATGAGAGAAATTTACCCAAATATTTAAGCATTACAGGCAAAGTCTGATGGAAAGTTCTTGGTTTGGTTTCCTAGAGTTGAGAGGCTTTTTTTTTTTTTTTTTTTTTTTTTTTGTGGGTTGCTACAGGGATAGAACCCAAGACCTTGGTGTTATTAGAATCTTGCTCTAACCAACTGAGATAACCGGCCAGCCTGAGAGGCTTTTATATGTCTAATCTGAGATTCCTTATTAAAAGTTCTAGCAAAACATACTTAAAAAGAGCCTACATAATCAATTACCATTTTTGCTGCTCTTATGTAAATAATCAGGCCAAATTTAATGAGACTAGACTTATTTCACAAACAAAAAATGTCTTTCATTATTTTTGAAAAAATGGGGGTGATTGTAGAGAGATGTTATGTTTCAGTGAAAAACTATAAACCACCCTTGTGAGTGTTCATTGTCTTTGAGCTATTTTCACCTCTTTGTAAACTGGATCTTGGTATTCTGTACCTTTTGTCAGTAACTAATGTTTCCAATTTTTCTCTCACCCTCCTGACTTGGTGGCACTGACAACTAAAATCTGACTGCCCCACTCCTTATTAGGACATCTAAAAAGCCCTGCAAGCTGAAGCTGATGCTTCCATGCTCTGCTCTAAAAAATAACCACGACTGTGACACTGTTGTATATGTTATCACCAAAGACATTCAAACTGAAAACCAGGAACATCATCGGATTGCCACTGCTTGTCCTCACTCTGCCATCTAAAGATAATTTCAGGGCCGGGCCCCTGGCTCAATCGGGAGAGTGTGGTGCTGATAACACCAAGGTCACGGGTTCGGATCCCTATATAGGGATGGCCGGTTAGCTCACTTGGGAGAGCGTGGTGCTGACAACACCAAATTAAAGGTTAAGCTCCCCTTACCGGTCATCCATTAAAAAAAAAAAAAAGAAAGATAATTTCAGCTCAACATCTGGAAATCTTCTTGACTGATTGTCCTTTGGACTAAAAACTGGGTTTATGTCAATCTTTGTATTTTTTCTTCCCCTTTACAGATCTCTTATTTCACAACTGTTTTTTTGACACCCAAATATCTTTTATTGGGGGGAATGAGCCTCAGGGAGTGGGCAGGGGACCCTCACTGCACAGGTTGTTCATTGGTGCTGCTTCCTGAGTCCTGCAGTTTCATCACATTGGGCAGCTCAGGTGGGCTGGAGAAGGGCTCGATGTGCAGGACCTCAGAGGCATCATCTGCCCAGAAGACCAGCCCCACTGTGGCTGGGGCCTGTGGCTGTGCTGTTTGGCTGGTGAATCCACATTCACCCAGCATCTTGCCATCATCCAGGAGCTGGTTGTCCTTGTATATCTGCTGCTTGTCAGGGGTCTGCTTGAGGATGCCCTCAACAATGCGCTTCAGCTCGAACATGGTGCTCAACTCCTTGGTGTCTGTGAAGATGGTGGTTTTGTGGTGCCAGATCATGAGGAACATGTCCTGGGGGCAGTGGGCTGGTGTGAGCATGGAGCCTGCTCCTGTATGGACCCACTGCCCCCCACCGTCTCTGGCCAGCCAGCTCTGGCCGCCCCTCGCCCTGCACCTGCTCATGTTCTTTATCTCATGACTTCTAACCTGAATCTCTCTCTCTACAGCCACCAATTGACTTTTACTACATGACGCTTAAAAGTTTCAAATGGGAGAATGAAGGAGACCAAAATATGCCACCCCCAAATATCCCACTTTGGCATAAGAATTCTTTCGAGCTGAAGGTAATTGATCAAGAGCAAATGCAGAGAAAGCTCTAAAAACAGAACATAAATTTTCTCTTTTTTAAAGGAAATTTACATTTATAAAGGAAACCTCCATTTGTAGAGGTGTCCTCTTCTGTCATAGTAGAAAGAAGAGAATGACTCTAGAGACAACTTCAGGTGACTCTTATCTGCATTAAAAACCTTACTAAGCACCACTTGTTTACTATACATTTCCTTGTCACCTTCCATCACAAACCTCCTTTCCCCCAAGCCCTAAACCTCCCATTTTTTTTGGCCTAGCTTCTTCTCAACACTTTATACCCTCTAAGATGGTATTTATCAGCCCCAAAATCTAACCATTTCCTTGAGCAACATTTCTTCGTGAACTCCCGAGTGTATGTTTTCTCCTGTTAATCTGTCTCTTGTTGATTTAATTTAATTTGCAGAGCCCCCAATTACTGAACTTAGGAAGTTAGAGGAAAAAAGTTTTTCCACCTCTATATTTTTGTCTTCCGTTATCAAACAGGAGTCTGGCAGCAGCCGCTGTGGGGATCAGACTGTGTTCCTCTCTGGCCACGCTAGGCTGTATTCATGTGCAAAGTCATGTTCTTTAGCCCAGGAGACCTTCCTTTTCCTGGATTTTCTGTCTCTACACCATTTGCCCTTCCACCCTGGTGAACTCTCATTTATCCTATAACTTTACGTCAATCACCTACATCTCTATCAATAGGGGAATAAACTATATTGCTGAGGTGCATATTATGCCTTTATTGAGAGTGATGTTCAGAGAGAGTTTGTAATAGTGAGGGAAGATACTTATAGTAAATTATAGAAGTTTATACAAGGGATCTTCAAAAAGTTCATGGAATGATTCATATTATCTTTTAATTCTATTTTTCCATGAACATTTTGAAGTCCCCTTGTATATAGCATGATCAATGAATTGTAAATATATGCATAGAGGCTGAGGAGAAGGAAAGTCAGAGATATTACCAGAAAGGTATCTTCAGACGATTGAAGAACATGTGCTGTTTTACAGACAGCACAGTAGTTGGGATGTGGGTGCTGAAGTCCATGGCTGGAACTGAAATCCTGGCTCCTCCCTGCCTGCCTGTGCAACCTGAGCAAACAGTTAATCTGTGGTGCCTGTGTCTTCGTGGACAAGATGGAATGACAATGGTACTCAACAAGGAGTTGTGAGAATTAAACAGTTCAGGAAGTGTGTGTAGTGCAGAGAACACACTGAAATGTCAATGATGTTGCTGTCGTTCCCCTTTATCCTCCTCTTACGCCTCCTTTTCCTTCTCGTTCTTATTATTTCTTGTATTTTCTATGTTACAATTTTTATATTAAGAGAATAGGAAAGTGACCTTCACTGAGGTGACTTCCATGAGCATCTCTAGACAGTGAGCTGCGCTTGACATGGAAACATACACCAATGTTCTTGAGAGCAGTCATCATGTTGACTTGTACATATTTTTAATTCCTTCTTCACCTAGGGGGCTGGGACTGTCATGTTTCATTCTTGAGGACACGGTCGTGTACACTTCTCCCTCCCTGCAGCCTTCCTATCCTTGCTCAGTGCCCCATCCACGCGGTCCCCTCCACATTCAGGCTTGGAGGAGTCACACTCCTTGAGGTGTGGAACCTCGTTCCTGACATACTGCTGAAGGGTGGAGAACCCTGGCCAGAGGGGATTAGTAAGGGGAAGGAGCTTTCTCCTGTGGTCTGTTCTGAGGGGTGGGTTCTTCTTGCTGCTTCCTTGTGAAATCTCATGTTGTCCAGGGGAGCACAGAGACCCACTGCCATGTGTGACTCATTCTGAAGCTCTAGCCAGCTCCAGGACATACCCCGTTGCATGCCGCATCCTTCCTTTGTCCCTCACTCTCTGAGCTTACATGTCCTGCATGTTGTGTGAGCTCAACCTCACCTGAGCTCTGCCTTCCAGACAACCAAGGCACAGACATTCCTCACGCCAGTTGTTGGACACTGACACGTCAGGAGTCGCGGTCTGTCTCTGCCTGTGCTTCTATAAGTGCCACGTGCCACAGAGATGCTCCCTCAGGCCCGGCTGGGCTATGGGCAAGGCTGCACTTTAATTCATCTACATCAAAGCAGATTCCAGGGGTGCAAACTGAACATGCTGCATAATTTAAAAGATCAAGAGCAGCAAGGAACAGAGCAATGGGGCACCCTGCAAGGCCCAACCAAACACCTCCCAATAAGTAAATTACATGAAAGCAATATAGAAGGTTTAAGGTTAGTTTAAGGTTTAAACTAACACACCTTCTAGCCAAGCTTTGGAGCTCTGTCTGTAATATCAACGCGTCCTCATAAGATAGGGGGTTAGTAGACATCCCCCGTCTTCAAGTGGGGGCCAATCACATGCTGGCAGGTAAGATTTTCCTATCACACGGCTGAGGCCAGGGAAGCAATGATCCTGAGAGCCCCAGTTAATCACCATCTGGGCAGATGGCTGTTATAATTGCAGCCTTAGCTTTCAGCTCTGGGGTCCCGAGTGGTGTAGGTGTTGCAGAGCCTCGGAGGGCCCTGATGACACCCCCTCATTGAATTCTCTCTGATCAGGGCCAGGAATGGGGATGGTTCATGGACTATCAGGGCCCTCCTGTGGACTTTGAAGAGCGGTTCACCCAACGGCATCATTGTACAGATGGGGAAACTGAGGACACTGTCCACAGCTGATAGGGACAGAGTCAGGTGAGAATTCTAGTTCCTTGTAGCCTTGCCACTTGTCCTCTGTGTTCTGAGGTGACTTGCTGATGAGGGTCACACCCTCATGCTCTGTTTCTTTCCCTGCTATGTTGTCATCCTGGGACCAGTTGTTGTTTCATCACTTAATGAGTCTTAATTTCCAAACATAGAGGGGATGTCAGTGCATCGTAGGAGAACCATCAGCACCTTTCAGAAAACAGACAAGTTGCCTGCAGAAGCAGCTCTGTTAATGCCCTCTGGCTGAGGGGAGGCTGGGGAGGCTGGGGCAGCTGGTCATATGGAGGGACGGCCATCCAAGAGGCTGGCGGTGGCCCCAGGAGATCCAGCAGGCAGGGCCAGTTCCCAACCAAGGACCCCTGGGCTGCCACCCTTCACTCTCCTCTCTCACAGACATTGCATATAAAAGCAAGAAACTGAAAAGATACTGAATAAGAAAGCACCATTCCATTGCATTTGAAATGGCCCCTGGAGGTTGGAAGTAAATTGCACAGTGGGCGCCCATTTCCTTGTTCCCGTCTGCGGTGGTGCACGGCTGGGCTCCGTGTGACCCGAGGAAGATCTCTCTGCTGGCTAGTGGACCTGCGCTGCTCTCTCCTCACACCAGACACATCAGCCAGGACCGGGAGGGATGTCAGGGCCCTGAGCCCCTCCCCTTTAGTCCACCTCTAAGAGCTCTCCAGGCAGAGTGAGTATAATTTAAAATCTTATGCCACATGTTTCATCTTCTCTCCAAGGTGCACTCTAACCTGAGTGCACAACCTGGTCAAATTAAGAATAAAAAGTGTTGCCTGAGCTGAAAATAAATTTACCGCACTTGATATTAGCTCCATCCCTCACCCTGCCTGAGAAGGGGATGAGGTAATCAGATGGCGGAGCAGCTCAGATGAGCAGCGGGGTCAGCGGCCAGCCCCTCCCTCCTGCCCGTCAGGTCTGGGGATCTGGGCCATGGAAGGTCCCATCCTTTGCTTTCATACACGGTGAAGTTTCATGTTTCCCAAGAGGGATGTGCTCAGCAGTGAGGCCAGTGGATTAAAGCCCTGGGATGAATGAAGCCCTGGCCCTGGGTTTCACACATTTCTGCCAAGTTCTCCAAAGTGCCCCTTTTCTATCTCTGCCCATGTCTCTGATTATAAACCAGGCAATTGGAGCAGGTTCTGGCAAGTGTTGATGTGAGCGTCCCCTGCTGTGGACCCTCCTAGTGGACAGCGCCCACGGCCCCAGGCCATTTGGCTGCCAGCAGACACATACCTAGTCGCGCAGGGACAGTTTGGGGGTTTAAAGAGTCATTTTGTCTCCTGGCCTTGGTTCCTCCTAAAAGGAGACCTCCAGGCAATTTTTTGGGTGCTGGTAGTTTACTTGTGCTGTAGCAGTTCAGTGAGTGAGTGGGCACACGAGAGAGGGAGGGGAGGAGACCCACCCAGCAGCGTGCTGAGGAGCTGCAGCTGCTGAGGGCAGCTGGGCTCTATCCCCTGGGGATCCTCTGGGGGCCTGTGGATCACGCACTGAGCGGGGAGCAATGGTCCACCTTGAAGAATCGTCCTGGACTAGTAAGTTCCTCCTGGGAATAACTCTCTACCATGTCCAGCTGTCCACTGAGAGGCCAGGCAAGCTCTCTTCTGCAGACGTATGAGGCTGGAGACCTGTGTCAGCTGGGTAGGGTGGCAACAGATATTTTTGCCACACAGCATAGCCCTTGGACAAGCCACCTGCTTTTCTGGTGATCAGCTGAGGGGCCAGGGTCAGTGCCCCTGGGGGAGAAAACACAGCAGCCCCTGTCTTGCCAAGAGCTGGCTCCCCATGGAGGTGTGAGTCACTGAGGGGATCTTCCACGGTCATTGTGACTGCATGTGGCTCTTCTTTTCCTGTGCATTTTAGAGCCTCAAACCCACATGAGAAACAAGCCTCCTTCTCCATGTTTTGAACGTATCCTGGGGGAGGAAGGAAGGAAGGTGCAACATCTGGACCTCCCAGAGAGCGGGGGGCACACAATGTCCCCTTCGCCGGGTTCTCCTCATGGCCCTGTCCATCAGGCAGAGCATC